GGGGGGTGATTGCATGTTACGGTTATTTTGCAATTGTCTCCTGGATTGCGTGCTACCTTAAGCGACAGAACGAGTGTCACGAGAGCGCTTGGCGCAGCATTGCAGTCAGACCGCGGCAGCTAACACCATCTCATCCTTCAATTCCTCCATCCATGCCCCCTCCATCTCTCCATCCGTCCATTCATCTCGTGATTTGTTCGAGGCTTTTGTGTATGACCGCCTGATGCCTCTAGTCGGCGGTACCCGAAACATTGCAATGCATGCTCGGCTGGTGTTTCTTGGTTTTCAGGCAGTGTTTTCATTTTCGTGTTTCCAAGCTACCTTCTTTTTGTAGTTGAAATTCTGGTCTTTACACACTGCCGTCTTGCCGAAGCCCCCCATCACAGTCATACCCCACAACACAAGCTTTCCATCAGTCGTTGAGGTAAGGCTCAAAGGGGCTGCAGAGAACGTTAGTGTTCCTTGGTTTCTCCTTTCGACCTTTGATTTCGGGTTGTTTTTTTGTTGGACTTTTCCTCCGATTTGTAGATATCTCGTCGCTTTTTATCATGCCACGGTGAAGGTAGCCAGAACAGTGTGACTTCGCATTTGATGCAGATAACCGGAGCATTCATGGAAAGCAAACCTCCGCATGCACCTGGACATTTGGAGGCGCCAGCTTCTTGACAGATAACATCCTGGGACTCGACGCTTGCTCGACCACTTCGGGGAAGTTGTGGGCGTCGTAGGATTAAGGATGGGTGCCTGGTTTCAACGAGCAGTAGGCACTTGTAGCCGCAATGGCACTTGCTCCTGCTCCTACTGCTGCTGCNNTGCTGCTGCTATGCTGCTGCTGCTGCAGTTGCTACTTCTAATGCTGCATTGAAGGGGCATTGCAGAACCGCTATGATTGGCGGTCATTTTGGTCGTTTTGGTAGCTTTGGTCGTTTGCTTTTTGTTTTTATGTAGTTTTGGTTATTTTGCTTGTTCAGGGAGGGTTTAGGGACCGGCGTTTTTTTTCATTTTGGTCGTTTTGGTGGGGCCAAAATGATGTGCCGTTTTGGTCAAGCCAAAATGACCAAAGTGACGCATCACTTTGCCCGACCTTGTGGACCATGTTGCAAGCACACGAATGCTGCACTGCTGCTGCTGCTGCTGG